GCAGTTATCATAGTATGTTTTTTATATATACTAATACACGGTATTTCAAAGCATAAACGTTGTTTTAAGTCACAAGAGATTACTAGTTTCTAGCTACACAATACATCATATCACGTTTTCATATGAAAATAATGCACTACATACATAATTTTACACAAAACAATTATTATAATTACAAAATCAAGGATCCTACTACATATAAAAAATTGCGGGAAATTTTCGTATTTTTTAGAACTGGTTTAGCAGCTCTTTGACTGGTTTTCTGCTGGACCTTAGCGAGCTGGAAACAATTTGATCTGAGAACACTGACAGTAGCGACTCAGCGACTCTGGCGGGAAAATACGGGAACGCCGCGTCTGTCCAGGCAGGTGTCCATCAGTTTTAGTTTCCACACTCACACAGTCTCCACTTTAATTATACATAATGGATACCAGGATTTATCGTACAAGTACTCACCTTATATGGTCAGGAAGAAATCATCTGTTTTTGGAATCCATTAGATTAACTTGCTTCCTCTTGAAGAGTTTCGGTATGTTTGTTTTCATCCTTTATCCTAGTACTGAAGAAAAACATTCGTTATGTTTAGGCTTTCTCCTTCAGTACTGCCCTTCACCTAAACAATACAGAGACCGTAGGGTTGATTATTTACATAGTATGGTGTTATTACAGTTGGGTGATCACAAGCAGAACCTGATTATTATTATTAAAATGTCGCTGGAGGTGACGCTCCAGCCAGGCTCATTGCCGTGACCGATTCTGTACATGCGGTTCCTGTGACCTGCCAACACCATCCACTCCTACCCGGCATTGCGAGCTTGTACAGTTACAAGGGGAGGGTGTTTTGGGGTGTAGTTTGCACTCACTCAACACTTCCGTCACGTTCAGCTTGAGGCGGTAGTGTGGTCACACTGGTCAGCGTCACGCTTGGCATCACCGAATTATCGTTCACCCATCACTGAATCATCATGCCGCCATCATCGCTGTATTACCGTACTAATGTGGCACGACAAATTTCCAGAATATTCGTGTCTGCGTCTGAGTTGGTGATTTAGAAATATGATTGCGGGGGGATGAGAACGATGATTGCGAGGGAGAAAAAGATATATGAACTTTTCTTATAGATCCAAGATTTCACGCTGATTTGCTAAGCTTGACGGGATGCGAGATGTGTCTTCAATAGCTTATAACTGAACTCTGATGATAGAATATGACACACACACCCAAAAAAAAAAATATCGAGAGTGCATGCGCTGGTGTACAGTATATGTGCGTGTACATGATCAACAGTTAGTATGGGCAAGTGTTAGTAGAAGCCTGCCACCGTGACTGCTACTGTTGACTGGAGCTATGCCTCGATGCCTGCGGTGTGTTCAACCTACACAAACACACACACACACACCCACCCACACCCACACACCTCAATGATAGTGTTTTATTTTTTTCCTACGAGAAGGTTAAACTGTTTTGTTGTTATACATTAAGTGTTTTCCTAGGTGTTCTTGTCACGTTTTATGAGGGTTTTTTTTACGGCGAAGCGAGCACTATGTTGATCTTAATATAAAAATACTTGTTCCTTGATTGTCTGTCTGGCTATACTGTATATTAGTTTGATTTTCCTTCTGGTTCTGTTTGATTTAGTCTTTCTATCTGTCATTCTGTGTGTCTCGCATGCACACAAACACTGCCTCGTTAACAAACAATGAGATACTCCTCTCCCTGCTGAGTTCTTTTAATTCTCACATAGATGGATCAACTCTCACGGGGAAAAAGGAGAAAATGAAGGGAAGAGGGAAGGAGTAAAGAAAACAGCAAAGGGGAGGGAGGGAATGAAAGAGGAAGGGAATCTAAGCCACTGTTATTTGTGTCTCTCGTCTTGCAATTGATCTTCATTTGTTTTAACTCTATAAACATCGTATCTAAAAGTATTAACACCAACAACAGATGAAAACGTGCATTCTTATCTTAATATATATATATATATATATATATATATATATATATATATATATATATATATATATATATATATATATATATATATATATATATATATATATAGCAAGTAAAGGTAAATTAGGATTACAAATGGGAAGTATATAGTGTATTTATTTTTAAAAAGTTAAACACTTTGTAAACAATAAAGTCTCAGGTTACGAGACATTGGGAGGTAGAGTGGGGGAGGGGTTTTCTCTTATTGTAGTCAGGGCCTCTTGTTGTAGTCAGGGCCTCGTTGTTGTAGTCAGGACCTCTTGTTGTTGTAGTCAGGACCTCTTGTTGTTGTAGTTAGAGCCTCTTCTTGTTACAGTGAGGGGCCCCCTTTTTGTTAGTCAGGCGCCATTCTTGTTACAGTCAGGGCCCCTTTTTGTTACGGTCAGGGGCCCCCTTTAATCTCAGTCAAGGGCTCCTATGTTTACAGACAGGACCCCTCCCCTGTCACATGAATCACTATCTGTCACAGCCATGACCATTTCATCTCAACTTTTTATATTTCACCGAAGGATCGACAAGAGTTCTTATGAGATCCCAACACCCTTTGTAGGTCGTTCAGTTCTCCTTCCTGACGTAGTTAAAGCTCTCCAACCCACCTTCATGATCTTCTCTGCCACACCCTCCACCAAGCTGTCGTAGTAGGAAAGGAAATATTTAATTATAGTCGTTTAAACACAGCGACAGGAAGGGAATAAAGGAACTGATATACGTACACGCTGACTATGGACTCGACCTTAACTATTCTTAAGTACAGTAAGCTTGTATAGAATCTCTCTCTCTCTCTCTCTCTCTCTCTCTCTCTCTCTCTATCTATCTATCTATCTATCTTCATCCGTCTGTTTACCTTTATTACATTGAAAAAAAAAGCTCACTAAATTCAACCCCAGAGACACTCACTGCCACAATCAACAGAGAGAGATGTAGGGACTTACCCGTAGGAGGGGCGGCAGAAAGCGCGGGTGGGGGTATCCATAAGGTCCTGCGCCCACCTGGGGATGTTCCTACGACGACGTTTTCCTCCAGGTGGCATGATGTTTACCTGAAGGCGAGGAACGTGATGTTTAGAGGGGAAGGTGATGTTTGGCTGGGGAGATGATGTTTGATTATACACCTGATTTCATAGGAAAATGGTGACCTGATGTTTAGTGATGTTTAAGGATGTTTTAGGGATGTTTAAGGATGTTTTAGGGATGTTTAAGGAATTTTAGTGATGTTTAGGGATGTTTTAGGGATGTTTAAGGATTTTTAGTGATGTTTAGGGATGTTTATGGATGTTTTATGGATGTTTAAGGATGTTTAAGGATGTTTTAGGGATGTTTAAGGAGTTTTAGTGATGTTTAGGGATGTTTTATGGATGTTTTATGGATGTTTAAGGATGTTTTAGTGATGTTTAGGGATGTTTATGGATGTTTTAGTAACTATACCTGATTGGCGTTGTTACTATTGAGGTTGAGGTTGGCGTTGTTGTTGTCGATGTTGTTGTTGCTGTTGATGTTATTGTTATTGTTGTTGTTATTGATGTTGTTGTTGATGTTGAGGACGAGGGACATGATGTTGGCCAGGAAGCTGATGTAGGTCATGGCGTTGCTGCCAGTGAACACGGCGCTCGATCCATCACTTCTGCAGGGGCGTGGAGTCTTCTGACGGCGGTACAGCGTGTTGGGGGGAGCCTGGCGGACTACGCGACCCCCTCCTATGGTTTCTGCTGTGACTCTGCCTTCTGCTGTGTCCCTGCCTTCTGCTGTGACTCTGCTTTCTGCTGTGACTCTGCCTTCTGCTGTGACTCTGCCTTCTGCTGTGTCCCTGCCTTCTGCTGTGACTCTGCCTTCTGCTGTGACTCTGCCTTCTGCTGTGACTCTGCCTTCTGCTGCTGCTGGTTGCGATGGTGGTGTTGATGTTCGACTTGTTGGCGTAACTGCTACCATTTTCGGAGGGTGTGGTTGTGGTGGAGGAGGTACTGGTTGTAGTTTTTGTGGTCGAGGTACTGGTTGTAGTTGTAGTTGTGGTGGAGGAGGTAGTGGTTGTGGTGGAGGAGGTACTGGTTGTAGTTGTGGTGGAGGAGGTACTGGTTGTAGTTGTGGTGGTGGAGGTAATGGTTGTAGTTGTGGTGGTGAAGGTTGTGGTTGTAGAAGTGGGGGTACTTGTTGTGGTGGTACTGCTTGTGGTGGTGATGCTGTTGTTGTAGTTGGTGATGGTGACGTCTGGCTTCCTCGCACTAAAGCTGGTGTTCCTCTCGATGTCTGTCCTTGAGTGCCAGTAAATGTTCCGTTCTTCACTGACACTCTAGTCGTCATTGTGTCGTTCTGTACATTAGTCTCCTTCATTTTAGACCCGAAGAAACCAGAGGAACCTGAAGGTGTTTGAAGAAGAGGTGGTCCTCGAAGTCGTGGGAAACCAACATCTTCTGGGTTCTCCCATTCCTCTATGAACACCTTCAAGAGTTCCTCCAGTTCCTCTTGCAGCTCGCTGGCTACTTGTGACTCTATCGCTTGTTCTAGATTTGACAGTAAACTTTGCGATGTTCCCACTGCAGAACACTCCGTATATTTCATAAAACTTAATATTATAACTATAGCAACCACACATTTCATTGTTTTCCCACCACGTGATCACTAACGAAACGGGGCACACAAAGGAGTAAACAGGGAGTAGTATGGAAGAGACTTTGGCCAGCACTGAGGCATGGTGGTGGTGTAGTACGCCAGGCCGGCTACAGGGGGCACCACCCATCAGTCGCTGAAGTAGGGCCTGAATCTCCCACGAATTTCAGCCTTTCTGTTGATTAATTCACATTGATGCGTGTATATTCTTGGTATATATATTGTATTGATGTATTTAGGAATGCATATGTGTTTAATATGTGTATTATTCAGTAGATGTTAACAAATATTTATCCCTGAATATCTTGACATTTTGTGTATGGTACAAGAATGGGGGAGGTGGGGGATCCGCCTAGCCATTGTAGAATAAGAAAAATACAATTCATCATTTCTATATTTTTATTAGGTAACGTAAATCATTTATAGAGACACCCCAGATTAGTTAGGTTAGGTTAAGGTAGGCTAGATTAGGTTAAGTCAGGTTAAGTTGGGTTAAAGTTAAGAGGTTAATCTTCAGGTAGTGCAAGCAGAGGTGTTGAGATTAACCTTTGATCACCAGCAGATAACATAGCCAGTAGCAGCAGCAGGAGCATGTGGTTAGTATCGTCAGGAGCTACTGGTGGTGGATGGTGGCAGAGGGTAGCCAGGCGCCAGGGAGTTTAGTTAGGGCCGCCTCTAACACGTCCACACCCTTCATCATCTCCATACTGTAGGTCACCCATAAACATCTTGTAATACATTCTTACTTTATTTCTAACTTCCATTATTTCATTCTATTTCAATTCAATTCTTAGATTATTCTTAGGAAACTTATATAAACCTACGCTTTATTATTTTACATGTTAGGACTTACTTGGACGTGAAAGGGCACTTCGAGGTTGGCGTCATGAACCAAGGTGACGTTATGAGTCCTGTGCTGCCCCGCCTCCTTCGACGACGACGTCCAGGTGGCATTATGTTGATCTGACGAAGGTGAGGATCATTAACCAAGCACCTGAATATATATCTCCCCCAGTCTATCTATTTGTTTACATGTAGAATTAACTATTATTATTTCAGTTAGCGTTAAGTGTATGTGAGTTGAGAGTTAACCTAATCTCACTGGATAGCATTGAAGACTCACCTGGTTTGCATTGTTAGCGTTGAGGTTGGTGTTGACGTTGCTGTTGTCCACATTGTTGTTATTGTTGTTGTTATTGTTATTGTTGTTATTGTTGATGTTGTTGTTGACGTTGAGGATGAGTGTTGAGAGGGTGACGAGGAAGCTCATATAGTTGAGAGCGTTGCCACCAGAGAACACCGAGGCCCCCCCGGACCCCATACACCGCCTGGCCCCTTGCTTTCTCAGGTACAGGTTAGGGGGCGCTGCTCTGGGGGCCACCTCGTGTTCATGGGCTTCTCTGGGGACCACCTCGTGTTCATGGGTTTCTCTGGGGCCCACCTCGTGTTCAAGGGTTTTTCTGGGGACCACTTCGTACTCAAGGGCTGCAGCATTTTCCGTCCCTGTGGTGAAACTTGCGGTATTTTTCCAGACTTTACCGATGGATGTATCATTTTCGACGGGGTCTACAGTAAAGAAAAAACTGTCGGACGTTTCAGTGTTGGAACTGTCGTGATAGTCCCAGGCGTCGATGAATGTTTCTAAAAGTTGATTTAGTTCCCCTTTCAAGATGTCATCCAGGCTGACTCTCACCTCTGTCGCACCCTTGCTAGGCACCGACACCACCAACAGGCATAAGAGAGTCAGCCACACACTTTTCATTACGCTGGCACTACACACGAAGTCCCTATACGTCACTCTCGTACGGTGGTACTCTAAAATCCTGAAGCACTGGTTAACGCCGTGGGTGTATTGGTGGCGCTACATACTTCGAGCGTCATGAGGTGGAACTACTAGTGGTGCAGACGGCCACTAGATGTCACTGCCCGTCTTTGCGTACCGACAGTATAGCAAGTGTTTCCCCCGAATGATAATGTTTCCTTTTACTTTATAAGTATATATCTAAATATACAATCTGTACATAAGACATGCACATAAGTAAATGGGTGGGTACAATAAATGGAAGATGATGAAGATCTGTTTCATCACCTTTGCATGAACAGTTAACTCCGTGCCTGACAACTAACTGGACGCACTTGTGTCTTCCTTCAGATATTAGCGAAGTTCTGCGAGTCTTTTTAGCCTTAATTGTCCTCCATTACCTAACACTACCATGAGTATTTCCTGGCATAGATAAATCTCTGCGTGTGGAAGATTAGCGTAACCTAGGTTGAACATGTAGCCCCGAAAATAGTGCAGTATTGGTGTACCGTACGGGCGGCCACCAGCGTGAAGGGATAACGGGACTGACTATCCATTGTGATGTGAGTGTGAGAATATATATATATATATATATATATATATATATATATATATATATATATATATATATATATATATATATATATATATATATAATTATTTTTATTTCACCCTTTGATTATTATTATTATTATTATTATTATTATTATTATTATTATTATTATTATTATGATGTCTGAGCTTTACACCAATTTTTCGCCAAGGAGGAATATCTAATAAAAGTACCCCAAAAATATATATAGGAATTTAATGCTCCGCGAACTTCATCAGTTGCTGTCAAGGTTTTGCCTTGTGGACGTTCTGGCAATGCTGGTGTCCTAAAACTCGCCTTCGCTTCACCCGTGGCGTCGTCGTGGGCACATTCCTCCATTTCCACCGTTGGTCCAGCGTCGTGACACTGCCCTGGGTAGAAGAGTGTAAGAAATTAAGAATGGCTTATAAATGCAAAACAATATTAAAAAAATATAGTATTTTTTTCTCTTAACTAGTGATGGAACGGATTTAGTTAAGATAGTCTCAGCGCGCTTTCGATGTCATGTGTGTATTGTGGGTTTAGAAAACTATCTAAGGAAACTCACCTAAAAATGTTGGCCAGCTGTGCCTCGGAACCCCCTCTGGAAGTAAGTAGTTGCGAAGTGGGGCAGAGGGTCGGGCCCCAATCTAGCCCCACCCCAGCTGCCTCCAGGCTCGCTCCCACGCCCTCCTATACCACCCCAAGAAGAGATAAAATGGGTATGTCATGTATGCTGTGTATATACAGTATATATACAGAGGTTAAAATGTACATCATTTACACTAAAAAAAATATCATACAGGATAATCGAAGTACTTCAGAAGTGTGTAATCGTCTCACGTCTTTCTTCACAATACCTCTGCTGACTGAAGTACAGTACTGTATTGATAGAATTAAATATTACTGAATAATAACCATTTTCAATTATATTTATGAATTAATTAATCTAAATTTTAATTACCTGTAAATTGTATATTTTCTCTTATGTTGATACACTACAAATCAAATTTATTATATAAGGGCATCTCTCGTGTGAACAGAAGGACTGACTCACGGTCACTCACCGTAGTAGCGGCCACCAGCAGGCGAAGACTAGCGGTCATGGCGTCTATAACGTGCTGACTGAGAGAGCTACCAAGTCTTTCTGGTGCCTCTTTCTGTCTCTGACCTGTAGCCGTGGGAGTCTGGTCCTGACCTGTAAGTGTGGACTTCTGGCCATCATGACTTGTGGGCGTGTTTATTACCTGGAGAATCAAGTCGACGATGGATCTCCTCTTTCTCCCAGGGGGGAACACCACGATCTATGGTACAAGGTAAACAAAGTCTCTTCAACACGGTGTATTTTAAGGCTTCTATAAGATAAATATCAACAAAACTTTTTAATTTGACGGTAACTTTTAAGATCAGCATTGCGGTCGGTATTAACCTGTTTGATCACATTTTTTGTTCAAGTGTCAGAAGAAACTTTAATTCACTAAGTTTTAGTGTATAACTTATTATTTTTATTTTTGAACTAGGATTTTATTAAAGAATAGATAGGTCGTATTTTATTGGTTCGCTGTATTTGCTCCAATAGATCAAGTTACCACAGCCACCATGAGATAAATGAACTATCCCCCACGCTTCTCATATTACACACCAAGCTATTTAAAAATACAATGTAAAACCATACTGGACGGGTGTGGGTTTATGACCGTCAATATATTGCCTGTCATCTTGTCACTTGCCGCCGGGTTTGTTTTATTTTTTAGCTGTATATCTTGGGAACTGGGGCCTGGGGCTAATACCAAGATGACAAAGTATTGACGAAGCTGTAAACCCAGGACCCGTTGACGGAGGTGTACTACTTTTTGTTCCACTGCTTTTTACTGAGAAATTTGCTCACTTGATTGGCTGTGTTGGTGTTAGCGTTGGCGTCGACGTTGCTGTTGGAGATGGCGTTGTTGTCATTTATGTTGTTGTTGTTGTTATTGTTATTGATGTTGTTGTTGATGTTGAGAATGAGGGAGAGGACGCCGGTGATGAAGCTGAGGTAGCTGAAGGTGTTGTGGCCGGAGAAGATCCCATTAGCCGCCACACACTTCCTCGTTGTCTTCTTCCCCGGCATGTACATCACCGGCATCCTACCCGACCGTCTCCCCCGGCCCTGCCCACCGTCTCCTGTTACTCCTACACTCCTAGTGGTGTCTCCAGGATTTTCTTGGCCGTACGTCTCTGTATGTTTTCCCTGGTCTCCTTGGCCTCCATATGTTTTAGAGACTCCCAAGTTTTCTCCCTGATCTCCTACGCTTCCTTGATATTTACCTTGGTCTTTTTCACTTATGGGATCTCCATGATGTCCTCCCTGGCCTCCTACACCCACCTCATAATCGACACTCTTGTTGGTACACAATATGTCCTCACAAATTATGGATTCAGAATCTAAACTTGGCCATCTTATTAAGTCATCAACACTCTGTCCCTTTTGTTTAGGTTTTAGGGTTGACTTACTTATATTATCGGGGTGTAACCAGCGTCTCCCCACCATCCCCCCGACGTCGAACGTGGAAGGCGTTTCTGTCAGGAAACGCCAGTTATTGAGGTGCTGTTCCAGCAGCACCTCCAGGTCAAAGGCAAGGGAGCGATAGTGTTCCTCCTCCTGAAGATGTGAAGGTAAGTCGTCATCACCTTGCGTCGTCGTTACCATCGTCGCCCATACTGCCGACGCGGCCACTACACACAGCCACAGATGGTCCCACACCCAGGCGCCTCGAGTAAACATTTATCTGTACGCGGGAGTGAACAAACCTTCACGTAGGGTTAACTCTCTCCCCTCAGTCACAGAGTTGGAGACGTCCTTCAGAGTTCAAACTCAGATCACCAATTAACATTTGTGGGAAGTTCGGTCACAAGAGAAGATAAAACGCTCATTTGAAATGGTTGCCTTGGCTCTGCTGTCAACATGGGGTATTTGGGTTTACGGTCATTTTCAACGTAATCATGTTCACCACAACGGGAATTTCAAAGCAGATTTCAGACTTAGACCTCTCCTAGAGTAAATAAAGCCGTGCCACCATTGTTTAAACTGGAGTAAACACAGTAATAAGGAGTGTGGAGGCAGCGTCCGCTTATGTAGCAGGCGAGGCACTAGACTGAGCTCCTCCGCTCCTCAAACACACTCCCAAGCCGCCAGTGTTACTTCTTCGTATACACCACGTGCTGCCCTGTACTCTTTATACTTTTCCTTCTTGTATACTATTCTGTCTGTGTATGTTACGAATGTGCAGAGAACAACCCTGATAGTCCCTGGGTCCCACTGAATAGCGAGTGAGTAGCTATGTTCTTCCCTTGGGTCTTGATCCTTGGTCCAACTGAGAAAATATTACCACTGGCAAAGGCTTAAGGTACCTTCATTAGCGTCATTTCTGAGGGTGAATTATGCATTAGTAAGTTGTTTAAGGTGCTGTACGCTGCCTATTGATGGTTGTGGTAGTTGCGGACACTGAGAGAGATACAGTTCTAGACCGTTTGAGGGATTTTTTTTTTTTAATGGCCAACTACCCCCTGTACGGTTATCTTCGAGGAGACATTAATGAGGCCAGATTCATGCCCTAAATCCCAACAAGATACAATACGTGTACTCGTCGTGTCTGAGGGACTAATATGATTTGAGATGTGGTCGTGGTTTACAGGAGTTACATAATCACGGGTATTGTAGTAGTTTGTGAGTGATTGATGTGGTTGTTGTGTCGTGACGAAGAGATTTGTCTTGTTATAGCGGTCATATTCAGAGGTATTATTAACTGAGATAATACAATAGTTTCCCCTGTCATCCTGTTTTTATATATTTTTTTTGAAAGATTTACGTGAGTTTTTCCTTCTGCCGTATTCCGGATTGAGGTTAAGAGAATTTATCTTCCTACAATAGAATCTCATTGCTATTTTGATATCATATTTACCAGGGAATTTTGTGTCGTAGTTTGAATATGAGGCAATTAGGTTAGGTTAGATTAGTTTAGGGTAGGTTAGGTTAGGTTAGTTTAAGTAATTAGGTGTAGTCATGCATCTTGCGTTAGAGGAAACTTTAACATACGATCCTTTGAGAATGTTAAGCTTGGTGTGTGACGGCGGCCTCCTGACCCCCAATTCTCGTCCCGTTACTAAGGCCGCCCCCTACACACACACACACACACCATCCCCATCTACACATCCCCCTACCGTAACTAAACACCTCCCCCCCCCTCCCCCCTGCTCTGTGAACTCCTCCTACCCCCAACCCTATCTGGTCTTCTCAAATAGTTCAGGGTTTACGGTGCCTTGTTTCTTCATCTTCCTCATCTCCTTATATTTGGTTTTCATTACTCCCCTTAATTCCTTTTATCAATCTAGTAGTCTGTTTAACTTCCTCCTTCCCTTGCTCTCTTCGGATTTCATTCTCTAACCCATTCTTTTTGGCTATTTATCTCACTTCTTACGACCCCTCTCATTCTCCCTCCCTCCCTTCCACAATCCTCCCTTCCATAATCTTACTCTCCCCTTTTCCCACAGTCCTTCGTCCCCCTCTCTCCCACGATCTTTTCTTTCCCCCTTCGGCCTCCCTCCCTCCTTCCTACCGCTCCCTCTGCGTCACGCCCATGGTACCTCCGTGGTCACGCCCCCACCATAACCTCCTAGCCCCGCCCACAAGCCGCCTCTCACTCGCTCAACACCATCAGCGCCTTGTGGAGGAATGCTCACCTCTCCACGACTATCGGCGAGTCTGTGGTTGATCAAGATGTTTATTAACTTGTATATGTGAAAGAAAGGCAAGACACATAGTGGATTTGTGAATGGAAGAAAAACAAAACAAGAAGAACATCAACAACAACACAAGAACAAGTAGAAAATGTGAAATAATAACAAGGGATGTTTATTGAATGTTATTTTGGCTCGTACTTGAAACACAATAGGGCACTCAGTATATTCGTTAGTGAAGAAAGAAGAACAAAAGAACAAGAGTGAAAGGATAGTAATTAAATGAAAAGATATAATACCTTAACATAAAAACGAAGGGAAGAAAGGATTAACATCATCAAAGTAGAAAGAAACAACAAAATAGCAACATTGGAAGTAGTTTACGTCAACACAAGAAAAACCAACGATAACAAAAGAAAAGACGTCACGAATAGCAAGATGACGGCTTTTGTTTACATTCTCTTTCTGGTGATGTCACTAATGTGCTTCGAGTCCGCCAGACTGGTGGACTTCGGGGACCTGGAGTATAGGATGCTGGACTTTGAATTTGAAGTTCTCCTGAAGATGTACCTGAAGGAGTGGCGATTCCTGACGGAGGACTCAAAGATGATGGATCTCGGGGAAGTCTTACCAAAAAGAACCTTTATCCGAGAGAGCTACACCAGAGATATTAAAATCAGTAATCATCGTAATGGCAGAGTTGTGGATACCAGTAAGCCGAGAAGTAAGACTTTGGGTAATACAAAAGTCTCAGGATTAAACACCTCGTTGAACAATGAAGTAAGTCACAGAATGGATACGAATGTTAAACGAATGAACCACGAAAAAAGTCTTACGTCTAATGTTTCTCAAAATTTGACGAATGTGATTAAAACTCTGGAAGAAGAAGGGTTATCTGGGAGTATGATGGGGGCTGAGGTTGATGAGGAGGATCAGGAAGAAGAGGTGTTATCCAGGGGGAAGAGGGGAGGTGGGATGCCTGTGATGTACATGCCAGGGGGTGGGAAGAAGACAAGGAAGTGTTCCCAGGTAAATGGCCTCCTAGGTGGGTTCAACACTTTTAATTATCTCACCTTCGTCACGGGCGTCATCACCCTCGTCCTTAATGTCAACAACAATCTCAATAACAACAACAATAACAACAACCTTAATAATAACAATGACATCTCCAATAACAACGTCAACGCCAACACCAACACCCAGAATGCTAACCAGGTTAGTGGGGGACCTCACCTAGTCGTAACAGGTACTGGTACTTGTGGTGGGTCAACTTATAAAAGTCTTAGGTTTTACAACACCGTGTTTCATATATCTTCGTGATGGGATGTATCAAACAACATTTAACAAAATATATCAATTACATAATGGAATGTGTATCCCCACATTAGCGTGTGATCCATGACTCATTTCTTTTCTTCAACAGGTGGTGCTCTTCCCCCCTGGCAGGAAGCGACGCTCCCTTGCAGACTGGCTTCTGCAGGTGGCCAGCATGAGATCAGCTATTACCACAGACAAGGATATTAAAAGTTTGTCAGCAGAACAAAAGTCAAATGTTGGGACAGAATTGGAAACCAGCTGGTGCCTAGCAACAGAGGCAGTGGTGGTGGCACTGCAGCTTTTTGATGTCTGGATACAGGTATATCTAGATATCTTAATATTATTTACTGTGTTACTATGACATTCTTGTATTCAATTAAAGTACAGGTACTGTACTCTATATAGCAGTTGATAATAACAAAGGATATTTTACTATGATAACTTCCATTTTGAATCAGCTCCTTTTGATAAAGTATACTGTGTTAATACGCACTACCCTGTAGTGTCATAATCCAATACATATTGGTGTACCGTTGCCTCATTTTGTAAATCAGGATGCTGTACTGGCATGGCAGTACTGTAGTTTATGCATTGGTGTGTAATTGTACTGTTATACATAGTAGTTTATTGAGACTGCATTCTTTCAGGCTAGTACAGGAGTGAGTGGAGACTGTGGTTGGGCAGAGTACTGCAAAGTCCTTCATGACCTTACCTCAAAGGGCAGCATATCTGGAGCCTTGGCCAAACCTGTCAGGTAGGTTGTTCTTTTCTGTGGCTGTGTACCTCTTGTAATTCATATACTGTACTGTATTTGTATGCTGGTGTTCTCAACATTCAGTTCTGTGCTCTGTACAGACTTATTGTATATTTGACATTTCTATTCACTTTCAGTACTGTATGGACTTTGTGCTGTGTATGGTTGTCTGATCCATACTTTCATGTACAAATGTGAAATAATGGATTTTATTAAAACTTTACTTTTCCTCTTCAGATTATTTATTAAAATGCTATGGTGATGCAGTAAGAAACAGTACTGTATAGCATAATTATTTTCATTATACTGTACTTCTTCCACTTACAGTAAAGAAGTGCCTGTCAACACACTAAAACTGAGGAATCATTTGAAAACTTAATGGATAACAATAATTCAGGTCATCCTGTGTGTGTGCCTGGTGAACTGTCCTCCACTTCATTGGAAATTTTGGGAAAAACACATTTAGTACAGTATTACACATCACAGTAAATCCTACCAACTGGTGTATGATTTAGTACAGTTTAATATTCCAGACTAATTTTAGGTAGTCTACTCTTATTTTCAGTGTCACAGGAACAACACTATCAGAGAAACATCATTACACTTCATGCCCCTATTTCCTGGAACATATTACAGTACCCTTTGTTTACTTTAACAATATCTTGGAACATAATATTTATTCATTTAATTAATTTAATTGTTCATCTAATTCTATTCGAAAATATGCTTTTGTAGTATTTGACTCCTTGTTCTGGCAGATCCTTCTCCAAACTAGTGTCACCACAGTGGGTTGGCAGCACCACCTGTCTCCTGCATCGTGCCCGCTGCAAACTTCTGTGATCAACTTACCACACATTCAGCCTTACAAAGTCCATATAAGAATTGTTGCAATGCTCCTCACATCAGGTACGATACATTCAATATTTTGTGAGGTTCTGCTTCAGTATGTTGAGTATAATCCACCACAGCTGCTTTAAAAATACTGTACTTTTTTTTTTTCCCACTTCAGTACAGAATGGCCACTATCAAGAGCAACAATTTTTATCATTCACCATCATTTGTTCCTTTTAGTTGCAGTATTAGAACCGTTTTGTGGTCTGCCCTTCCCACCATCACTTGCAAGACCAAGTTATCCTTCTCATTTATCCTGGTTACTTCCTACATCACATTCTCTCATACCCGAGAAGTCCTCTTGAGAATTCTGCATTTTATGTTTTCATATTTTTTAAACACCAGTACTGTACCTGCATCTGTACTAATTTTACAAGAAGCATACTTATTATGTTACAACTCCTGGCTGAACCTGATCATACAGTACTAATGTTGTTTACTACATTCACAAAATTTTGCTTTTAGTACAGAAGTACAGTACTGTACATATATGAAATAAAAACTAAGTCATTAGGTTCTGATGCAGTGGAAGATTCTATGTACATTTACAAATCATGATAAGTAAAAATAAAATGTATATTGCATATCTTTTTAATTTGTAATACAAAAACCAACAATATCAACTAACTAGTATATAAGCAAGGTGCTTTAACCATCAGTAATAACCAATATTTGTACATTGCTGAAACATTATGTAAATCTGATGTCATGGACAAACCGTTCAGTGTAGGAACCAATGTTTTTTTTCTTTGGAAAACCACAGCTTTTAAAACCCGAGATCATAAATAATATAAAGCAGATGTTTACAATAATTCAAGTAAGTGTAATGATATGGAAAAAAAAAGTTTGTATATTTTGGGTGCCACAACAAAGTTTATGTCCTCTGCAACTGAGCAATGTATAATACTCTACAAGCTATGCCACTAAAATTGTTGAGCTGTTTCCAAGGGGGAATTTCTGCTACTGCATGTAGTACAGGGAGGCTGCTACTATCTGCTGCAACAACCATCGTCTCCAAGAACTACTTGACCTCTTGCTACCATCTCCATTGCTCTGTCAACACAAAAGACACTATGGTTATCTCAGGCAGTCACTGCCCTAGTCCCACACTCTAATATCTCACTTAGAATGTTGTCAAGAATAATTTTATAATTAACAGTAAGTACATCTCGGTACATCTTGTGTGTGTGTGTGTGTGTGTGTGTGTGTGTGTGTGTGTGTGTTATTGTACTAAATTAAATTATCTGAAGTTTGGTATACATATCTAAGTATAGATTACTGTACTAGCATACCTTGTAACTTTCTCAAGTATTTATAGGTCGAGATTAAAATAAACCAGGTGAAAAATGGTTTACTCATGAAGTGTGGTTACCAGTATTCTAAAATGAAGTGATCATGCAACTTACCTTGGGAAAGCTTTGTGTTCAGCTGTTTTGATGCGCTCTGCCAGAATATCTTCAGTGTCTCCTGGTAAGACTGGCACCGCCTCTTGTGTTACAATAGCCCCTCCATCAACTTCTTCCTGAAGAGTTAAAGGAATATTTTAATTTGGAACAAGGAAAGTGCCATGTTTTAAGTACATTAATTTCCATACAAATACATCAACAAAACCTGGATCTTTTTGTGAAATGGGATCAGGATATCCAAGTCAAACTTTACCCATCAAAAATAAATACCATGAAAAAAATAATTGGTTAAATTCAAGCAACAACATGAAATATTTCTGGCTGCTTCCTCTCCTATCTCCCTCTGAATGAGTGGCCACACAAAGCCTTACACAAACCTTTCACCCACTGACCACCTCCATATCCTCTTGGTGAAAGAATCCAGTAACCCTTGAAACATTTGTACAGGTATAAAGTAGCCAAGAATCCAACTAACTGAAGTTCTCACGACTTGCATTGTGCAACAACTATCATTTCTGAAATTTTCTTCATGAAGAAGTTGAAGATTGACTTACAGCAACAAAGTGCACAGTGCAGCCAGTGAGTGTCACCCCAGCCTGTAGTGCCTGCCTCTGTGCATGCATGCCTTTGAAGGATGGTAACAATGATGGATGTATGTTGAGAAGTTTCCCCCTCCATGTCTTCACAAAATCACCAGTCAAGATTCTCATAAACCCTGCTAGGCAGATGAGTTCAGTTTCCACCTTCCTCAGTGCCACTGTCAGAGCTGCATCAAACTCCTGCCTATTCTTGTAGTTTTTGTGGGGAATCACCTGCAAATGTGAAGTTTAATAATAAGATCACCAAGATTTAAATCGTCTATTTAATGCAATACAGTATACTGCCTCGCCCTTAAAAAAAATAAATAAAAAGCTACCAAATTATCATAATTATTTGGGGATAATCCCCTATCATGAATAATTAATCTTCTGAACTGTACTTCCTAGCAGTACCCAGCACCACCATGGCTCACCTCTGTAGTAACACCAGCATCCTTTGCCCTTTGAAGACCTTTGACATCAGGAACATTGCTGATCACCAGAACAATCTTTGCTGCACTCAGCCCTGATCGTGTATGATCTAGTAGTGCCTGGAATCCATGTACACTGTTAAAACACCTTTATCATATCTGATCAACATAATGACTTAACCTCTAAGTACACTGAAAATGTAACTTGCACAATAAGTAATGTATGCAGTTAATCAAATTTGATTACCTCAGGTAGAGGTGACCCTGCCTTGGCAGCCGAGAGGGTTCTTAAAAGTCCTACATAAAATACCCAGCTACTGGCTTCAAATTTCCCTGGTGGCAATTGGGATCACTGTCCAAAGAGTTAATCATGGCTAACTCATGCAAGTGTGGAAAATGGCCATAAAATGGTGATTATGAGGAATTAAAAACTAACCTTAAGATACTTCCCAGAGCAAATTAGTCCGCTTGTTTTACTTCCTCACTTATATATTACATTAGAATATTAATCAAATCAATCACCATTCTGGAGTAGAAAACTATCATAAATGTAACAAATTTTACTCCAACTCCAAATGACAGGAAAAACTAACCTGAAGATTAGTTCCTGAACCAGAGATGAGCACCGCAACCTTTCTATGTGGAGTTGTCAGCAAAGGGCACAAGGGAAGAATGGAGGCTGCACCAGTTCCAAATACATAATCCAGCTTCTCAATCACAACCTGTGGAGACCCTGCTACAGGGTGTTGGGGGATTTTGAAGATTAGCGGTTTCTCAATCATGACCTGTGGAGACCCTACTTTAGGGAATCACAGGCGTGGGGCGGGATATTTCTTTATTGTACATTAAATGAAAAAATAAAGAGAACTACAAATTAATTGCTGTAACACTTGACAGAAAGAACAACTGATGAAGTAATAGGAGAGGGAGAGATGGTGTGCTCTTGATTCCAGGCATCCTGTGCAATAGAAAAAAATAAATTACAAGAGTGAAAATATAACCCCAGACATTGATACTGCATCCTAAAGAAAAGAGATGTAGAAGCAAATTTTTTAGGGAAACTATTTTAAAAGATGAGAGCAATAAGGGATGAAAAACAATTAATTCAGTGTGATAGGAAGGACATTTTACAAAGTGGGTGGAATGACATGCATTTGAATTAGGTACAAGTCTGGAGTGAAGCTTATTTTGTAGCACCAGTACTGTAGTTGTAGATTATATATCTTTGTACAAAAAGTAAATGATATGTAGAAGAACAATTCAGAAAGATTGTCCTCTTGAACAAATAGCTCATATATTGGTTGTTTAGGAATGGTAAAAGAGTTAAGAGCTAGATTTACAGAGGTATGGCTGTATGGTCATTTACTACAAGAACTGAAAAAATAAAATGTAAACTAAATATGGTAAATTATTTTAAACATACGAAATTGTGGTACAAGTTATGGAAATAAACTATGGAATATTTTGAAACTATGGTAAATAAAAGGCAAGATAAGTTTTGAAGGGTTACTATGGAGGAAGTAGAGGTAAACTGTACAGTGTATGTCAGTGTAATGTATCAGATCAAGTGTAGAAATAAATGTGTAGCTCTGATATGGGTGCATTGCAGGCTATGGGTGTGTCCCGTCTCTTGCTCTTGACTTTACAGATTCAGAAGTGAGGAAAGGTCTTGGCATATACAGTAATAAGATTTAGATTTGAAAATGATGGAAGATAGAGGGGTATGAATGATGCTTTAGTATTTGACGACACAAAAAGGAAGTCGAGTGAATGCCAAGTACAGCTGGAAGGTGCTGCTTTGAGAAACAATGTGTGGTGTTATTAACTGGTGAAAACTTGGAAATACTGTAGTTCAAAATTTAACCAGGCAGAAAAGAGGAAAAGCTTCAGTGTTATGAGTTAGGTATTTGAAACAATAATACTTAGCAACATAAGATTCTGACCTTCCAGTCGTGTTTTCAGTGTTCCGATGACAAAAACCTGGTTGTCCGAGATAAGCTGAGTAACCTGCGTCACCTCTCCTGCCCCCACCACCAGCACGAGACCCACACCACAGTTGAATGTTCGAGCCATCTCACTGCTGCTCACGCCTGTCTCGGTTCCAGTAAAATAAGTTTAAATACATTATTCTGTATATTTATTTGTGTTAACATGTTGTTAAAGGAAATTATACAGCTGTTGATCAGTTTTGAAACAAATCTAAACTCATAATATTTCAGATTAGCAAGAACTCTTCTTGCATTATAATGCTTAATCCTTTCCTTACTACATGCACTATCATCTCCTTTTAACATATATTAATTATTGCTATCAAACAACCTTTTCACAATTCTTCTCTGGCTTGTGATCTATCCTTTCTTACTTCACCGTTCACTCCAATTCTGCTACCACCTCCTCCATCACACTTTGTATTCTTTGCATTTGTTCCTTTGTGTGATTATCAACTTCAGTTTTCTTACTTCTACAGTATTACCATTAGGTATAATTAGCACAGCCATGCAGTAAGGGAGGGGTTAATGAGTTAATATTTGAAAGTATGTATAGTTATCACTGTACCATGAGCAGCAAGCCAGTGGAAGACGGGGTGTATGTGCCACTTGGTAGCTTGAAGTGTGGCCGTCAGGTTGTTTGGGAGGACACGTGGCAGGTTCTCCATCAAGCCACCACCAGTGATGTGAGCGGCTGCCTTCACTAGACCACTGTGCAGGGCAGCCATCACAGCCTTGGAATAGATTCTTGTTGGTGTCAAAAGCTCGGACCCTGAAGGTAGATCAATGAAAGCTGGATTCACACATCTATTTTAAATCCAAGTTAACCCCTTTATTGCCTTTGAAATTTTAAAACAGAAGATGGTACTGTAGTATCTTCTTTTTACCTTCAGAAATAAAGTTTTACATTGCTGTATACTCATGGCAGCTATTTTAAATTAAAGTAAAACCAAATCATCAAAGTAGAATTGTCACCAAAAACACTACATTACTAGTATGATGGTTTTGAAACCAGACCCATGAAACATTTCCGAGGCAGATTTATGCAAACTAAAATGAATATTCCATCCACAGTATTAAAGAGGCAGAAACTTACCAAGAGTTTTACTTGGGGAAAACGGGGCTGGATCTGTGTACTTCAGGTTACTTGCTTCAACAATTTTTCTCACCAAACTAAAACCATTACTATGAAGACCAGATGATGCCAAGCCCAGCACAACATCACCGGCCACAATTTCACTCTTTCGAGGTAACAATCCACTTTTCTCAACAGCTCCGACAGTGAACCCAGCAAGGTCGTATTCCCCAGGGGAGTACAACCCAGGCATCTCTGCTGTCTCTCCACCTGTATCAAGGAGAAATAAGAGCTTTATATGGTTCATGTCTCACCACACATTGCATATAATAAGCAATTAGATTATGGTCCTAAAGTTCATATGTAATTTAGTTTGTTGGTATTGAATATATTTATCAAAATACTGTAATCCACTCCAATATTATCCAACACAATTAATTAATCCTGGCTTTAATGCTTCACTGGATAAACAATTTTTTACCTGTATCATATAAACACTGTATACAATATCTCACAGTACAATCATTACCTAAAGTGAATCAACAAATGCTCCCCAAGTTGTAACTCCTCCTTACCTATAAGAGCACATCCAGCAAGTAAACAGCCATCTGCTACACCTTTTATTACACTGGCTGCCACACCAACCTCCAGATGACCAGTGGCAAAGTAGTCCAGGAAGAATAGGGGTTCTGCACCATGAACCAACACATCATTTACACACATGGCCACCAAGTCTTGCCCCACTGTATTGTGTATACATGCTGCTTGTGCCACCTGGTAAAGAAGAGTTAGATTCAAGTACTGTATTGTGATAAGAGGAATATGCAGTGGTAAGTGATGATGAGGTTTTGTAGTCAAGACTCCTAATGCAAAATAGAAATATGAAGATGGTAGTTACAAAATTATTAATATCATAAGATGCTTCCTCTGTGTGTGTGTGTGTGTGTGTGTGAATCCTAGAGCTTTTTGATTTTCTGGTTTGTTTCTTAGTATATGTACTGTAGCTACATGTATAGTACATTAATACTTTTACTTTTATCTTCTTCACCACTACCGGTAATCGACTCGTTAGCCGCTTGGGCGATGGGTCACGTCTCTGTTACGAATTGTTGGTAAGAACTGGGCATGCACCGGCTCCTGAATGTACCTGAACCTGCTCCAGTGTTGGTCAAGTCTGGTCTTGAAAGAGCTTACACTCAGTGCCGTCACAACACTTTCTGGCAGATTGTTCCAAGAGTTTACAACCCTCGCTCAAAAAATGTTTGCCCTCAGTTTTCTGGACCTGCAGCTTCTTCAATCTTGAGCTGTGACCCCGTGTGGGGCGAGCGTCCGCCAGCTCCAAGTAAGGACACTCGACTGAGTAGTGCCCCTTGAGATGCTTATACACCTCAGTTAGGTCGCCCCTTGCCTGTCTGTAGTATAAGCTAGGCAAGTTCAGGCACTCCAATCTCTCAGGGTAGTTGAGGTGCCGAAGTGCAGGCACCAGTCTGGTGGCTCTCCTTTGAACATTTTCAACCAACTGACAGTCCCTAGTATATCTTGGGGACCAGACGGGGTGACAGTACTCCAAATGAGGAAGCACTACACTCTTGAAGATTGTTACAAGGGACGGACCGTCTAGATATCTGAACGACCTTCTTATAAGACCCAATAATTTATTTGCCCGATTTACCTTCTTTTCGCAATGGCCTGAGAACTTCAGCTCATTGTCAACACACACCTACCGGTAGGTCCTTCTCACATTGTCTCAAATAGTGCAGTTTCTTCATCCTGTTGGGACATATGATACGCCTCCTTACTGTTGGTACGCCCCAGGTGCATCCTTTACACTTTGTGACATTGAATCTCAGCAGCCATTTCTTCGACCATTCTTGGAGCTCAGAGATTCTTCTGCAGCTCTCCACAGTCAGCTTGGTTCTTGATTTCCCTAAATAACTTGGAGTCATCCGCAAACATTTTTATGGAGGAGTGTACAACGTCAGGCATGTCATTTATGAAACAAACAAACAACAGCGGGCCCAATACAATGCCCTGTGGTACCCCGCTTGTAACAGGTACAGATGATTTTGTGCCATTAATCACCACACACTGCTTGCGGTCATGTAGAAAGTTTTCTATCCACGCTAGGACATTTCCCCGAATTCCGTACCATTCCAGTTTGATTTTCAGCCTTTGTGGGGGTACACTGTCGAAAGCCTTGGCAAAATCTAGGTATATATCGTCGATATTACCACCCCGTTCCAGAATATGGGTCCAAATATCCAATACCTTGAGCAATGATATGAATCCAGTTTATCTTTTCACAATAAGACTATAAATCAACATATGGTGGAATATTAGTTATTCACAATAACACTATATGATAGCAAGAGTTAAACATAGAAGTACTGTAAATATAAACAGAATTAAGATTTAAGGACCCCAAAATATAAAAATTTACATACCTTCAGCTTGGTTCCAACACCGTCAGTTCCCGATACCAATATCGGCTCGCTGTAACCTGCTGCTTGTAGATCAAACAATCCCCCAAATGACCCCAGGCTGCCCATCACACCTGAGCGTGTAGTGGTGGCTGCTACATCTTTAATGGCAGACACCACAGCTTCCCCAGCAACAATGTCCACACCACTGTCCCGATACGTTACTCCACCTTGTCCCACAGCATACCTACGTTATGAATACGTAAGCTACCACAAAGAATATTAAGAACACAGTTTAAAATACCCCCTGTATAGCGTGAACCCCGAAAGTCAATCATTCTAATGTCACACAAGTCAATTTTTTATAAGTTGATGTCATATTCTTCATATTCTTCAGTGCTTTAATATTCTTATCAATGTGAATCATTCAGTTTATTAATATACCTGTAACTACAACTTAGGTTTATACAGCAATTTGGACCACTCACTTTGACATTTGCTTAATATCTTTGTTACTTCACCAGACATTAAAATAACACACTTTTCAAAACATAACTGCCACCTTAATGCTCTTCTCATCTTTATGGAAACAATGGATTCTTATACTTTCGGTACAGTAAATTCGATTTATATGGTTCTTATAAGGTACAGTGCACACTCGACATCATAGTCTTAAAGTAGATTTAATGAAACTGCATAATGAGGAATGTATTCATTTGGCAAAATATTTTATATATGTACAGTATATTTTTCCTTTAAACATTCCTAAGACCTGAATTCCCCCAAACCATTTTTTTTTCCAATTTAAGCAAGAAACCTTGTCATTCTTTGAGTATCTATCAGTGTTACTAACTAAAGCTTTTAACTAATCTTCACATATGATACACTTCCAAAAGCCACCAAAAAGATGCAGAAAACATGTATATTACTTGGAATGTGAAAGGAAAATCAAAATACAATTGCATAATGTATTAAACCATGATGATAATAAAAAAGGTCAATGTGCTGACCTAGCAATAGCTTTGGCAGCTATGTCCCTCCTGAAGAAAACACCATCAAACATTACTCTGCTGGCTGTCATTGTAGCCTTGGCAACAGCTGTTACAAGGCTGGGATCAGTGACGGCAACAGCCAAGACTCTGCCACCAGAGGTTACGAGTCTTTTACCATCAAGCTTTGTGCCAGCGTGGTACACCTGCACCCCGGCCTCCTCACACACATCTGACAGTCCTGGAGAAAGTAATTAAACCCCTATACTGTACACTATGCAGTCATGAATATGCATGTACTAACAACAGATTTACTGCAACCTGTCATACTGTTTTGCACAGATATAAAATTTTGCAAGATCTTATTAATTATAATGTCAAACAGTATCATTTTGTCCAAATGCTATCAAAGCTATACATGAAAATTTAGTTAAGTTTAACATTTCTGTTATACAGGTATAAATAAATTGATTTCTAGTATGGGATATAAATACAGTAGATACTTGTATTGCAAAATTTACATCTAGAGAAAATATAGATTAATAAAAATGATGCTCAAGGTACATTTCACCATTCATCACTAAGTCTCACCTGTTATAGGTTTTCCCTTGGGATAGGATCCTGGATAGCCACCACTGACCAAGCAAACGGCCACACATGTGTTCTTCTCATCGAACTTGACAGGGACCTCTGACAGCCGTCCCTCAACACAACCCTGTACAATAATATAATCCATTACTTGATCTTCAAGAAACAAGAAAAGACCAAACATTCCAGTATCTTATACTGCATAAAATTCAGAATCTGAGTTAATATTAACAGTATAAATTAGCTAATTCTCTGGCAACATATTATGAGGAACAAGAACTTACCAGGATGATGTCATAAAAGTCTGACAGCAGAAGGGGAAGTAGGACCTGGGTTTCTGGATCACCAAAACGACAATTAAATTCAAGTACTTTTGGCCCTGATGATGTAATCATGAGACCTGCATACAACACTCCTGCAATATAAAAGAGGACCATCACCCACTGGGTGTCCAGTACAACACTACTGAGGTATACTTAAGCTGGTATACTGTATCTTATGACTATTTACAGACTGCTTGCAATAAACCATGAACATTAGCCTCAGGTTACTTCACAAGATCAGACCCGAGAACATTTGTTTAAGAAAACTCGGCAATATAAAAATTATTGTATTCAATGCAAGATAAGGGCTTAGGGACCAAAGGACAAATATCCTCAGAACAAAGCTGCTCTGGTATGACATGGAAACAAAGAAACTGAACAAACACTAAAACAATTGAGCAAAAAAGGTACAAAACATTACAAGCATGCTGCCTCCCTGCAACACAGAATTGGTGGTACCTCTAATACTGTGCTGGATGGTAATGCACATTGACCAGCAACTTTAAATGTTTCTTTAAAAGATAAATGCAGTCTTACCTCACAAAAAGCCCACCAAAAATGGTAAGGAATAAGTCTGTTACTGAAAATTGTTTTCATTTATGGTTCCCATTTTAGCGTACCACAACTGATGTATTGTACTTCATAAGAACGTACGAATGGAGGAAACTGCAGCGGGCCTATTGGTCCATACTATTGCTCATATATCCATCCAACCTATGTTTGAAACTATCCAGCGTATTCGAGTTAATGATAATATTTGGTAACTTGTTCCACTCGCCCACTACTCTATTTTCGCGCCTAAATCTAAATTTGTTTAATTTAAAACCATTGTTACGAGTTCGCTCCTAAATGAAACTATGCTTATACCAATCCTTATCTTTTATAACAATCACAATATAAATAATGGCATGTCTTAGAATCTTCCCAAATTGCCTAGCCACATACTCCCATACTTCAACTTGGCAAAAGATTTTCCTTTCTTCAAAATCCACCATCAGTGTTAGTGGTACAGCAGTAATGTGTGCATCTCTTTCAATATGTCAAGGGTTCAAATCCTGCTTGGCCCAGACATGCATGAGAAGGGTGATATTCTGTGTGACCTTACCAAACATCACAGGTTTCCCAGAGTCCAGTTTCCTCCTGTACTAACACTGGATAGACCAATCGCCTGAACAGTTAGTAAGCCTTTGAGTGGTGGGAAAAATAATAAAATAAATAAAAAAAAGTATAAACTTACCAACAAAGGGTATGCCTTCTTTTCGTAGCCCACTGACAGTCTTCACAAGTATAGTTTCTTTTATTGTTTGAAGCTCTTGTTGTGACACCAGAGGGCATGGGCAGTAGGCCCCCATTCCTCCAGTGTTTGGTCCCTGATCACCCTCCTGAAGGCGCTTATGATCCTGGGCTGGAGGCATCACAGTTACGGTATTTCCATCAGTGAAACACAACACCTGATCAACGTTAATGAGAACGGTAGAGTAACAAAAAACACACTGGTAGATCCAGAAGGCTTCTAGATGTGTAACCCATAAATGTAAGTGACTTTGTGTTTGTCTTTCTACAATCATGATCCCTCTTGTTAAAATCCTAAAATCCCTATAATCCTCTTCCAGAAACCCTACTGACCTTTTTTACATGCCTGCCAAACCTCTCCCAACTTGGGGACAGAGCCACTGCACCTCCTTTTTAAAACTCCTGGATCTATCTACATTATGGAACACTTTTACTTATGGAACACTTTTACTATAGTACTGTGCAGTATTATATTTTCCAGGCTCCCATATTAAAAAAAATTACTCCAAATAAGATTAATTTATCATATCAAGTTGGTAGTACTGTACTGCACAAGGTATGTCAGCTTGGGCATTAAAATCTTATGAAGTCAGTATGAATTCTGTCCTAAATTAATAAATTTTGTACAGTACTCTGTCCTAAAATTAATGCGATTGGTTCACGAAAAAATTAACTGGTTCGGAAAATTCTTGACATGCTCACAGCACTTCAAAATTACTCCACTACAGTACATTTATATTGGATAAGCATATGTATGGTCCATTAATTTCAAAATACTTACAGAAATTTCTTCACCTCCGAGAAGTTCTTCAATAATTATAGTTTCCCCTGCTGCCCCAAAGTTCTTACAAACAGTGTCCACAGCTTCAATGGCAGCAATGCAGGAGTCTGTTACCACCACACCTTTCCCTGCTGCCAGTCCTGAAGCCTTTACCACATAGCCAGCCCATGTCTCCCTGTTGTGGAATAAACAGTTAACAACCTCTCTGTTAGAAGAATCAAATATCTTTTTAACTATGACACAGAATAAATTTTCTTCACATCTCATGACTTTTGATCCAACTCATGGTACAGTATAAGCAAACACCGATAACATTGACATGGAAGATACATCATCCAACTCTGACATAAAAGAAGCAAACTACCAACACAAGTTTTTCTATTACACATCTTTTCCCTTTTTATCAATATATTCACCCAATTAATAACATGATATTTCTCACGTTTTTATAAAGTCTTTGGCCTTTTGAGCATCGGTAAAGGTTCTATATGCAGCTGTGGGCACCTCATGACGCACCATGAAGTCCTTAGCCCAGGCTTTGCTCGACTCGATCTGTGCTGCCTCTTTAGTGGGTCCAAATACCTGTTAATGTAATAATAATACCTCTTAATTAAGTTTACAAGGTAATTTTTTACAATTCTTGCACTCCTGAACCAACAACTTAAAGGCCATTTTACCATAAAAGAATACAGTATAGTATTTTCTGACTTCAAGAATATGAAAAAAAAAATGGACATGAAAAATGTTTCCCGTAATGTAACTTTTACAACATTTTCCTCCTGAATACAAACCATCGGCTTAAACATCAGAGATAAAAAACTACTCTAAATATTAATGTAATCACATGTTTTTACATACTGTAGTGAGATTTGATAGAATAACAATTTCTAACCTTAATTCCAGCAGTAGTGAGTGAATTGGCCAGCCCATCTGCCAGAGGGTCTTCAGGCCCCACAACCACCACACTCACATTTTTCTGGCGGCAGGCCTCGATCACCGCCTGAAAAGAAGCAATATTACACCGATGGCAGAAGTTTATCAAAATCTTTTAATTATTACAATACCCTCACTTGGTGGTAATACTGTCCATCTCAGCTGAGATATAAGGTACAGTACCTGTATTATTACAGTACACCATGTTAGTCATTACTTAAAAAGCTAACCTTCATGCAGTATTCAACTTTAATAATAACAACTGGAGTGATTTATTTTTACTTGAGAAGACAAGTACTGTACAGTATTACAAATGCCTTACTTGATGGTCCTTGAAGTTGAGGGAGATATTGGTGACGTTGGGGGTAATGTGGGTGCCAGCATTCCCTGGAGCAACAAGAACAGATGACACTGCAGGAGAGGCAGCCAAGGCAACAGCAAGGGCATGCTCCCTACCTCCTGACCCCAGCACCAACACCACACTCATCTGAAAACATGTACAGTCCTGTGGTATATTCAGGCTATTAGTTTTTAGAGACTTGGCTGGCCCACTAATCTAAAACTCAACCTGTCTCTAGCTCTGGGAGGACGCCAGTTCCACCTGTCTCTAGCTCTGGGAGGACGAAAGTTCCACCTGTCTCTAGCTCTGGGAGGACGAAAGTTCCACCTGTCTCTAGCTCTGGGAGGACGCCAGTTCCACCTGTCTCTAGCTCTGGGAGGACGCCAGTTCCACCTGTCTCTAGCTCTGGGAGGACGCCAGTTCCACCTGTCTCTAGCTCTGGGAGGACGCCAGTTCCACCTGTCTCTAGCTCTGGGAGGACGCCAGTTCCACCTGTCTACAGCCCTGAGGGACCCCCCACGTGTCTATAGCCCTGAGAACCCCCCACCTGTCTACAGCAGCCCTGAGGACCCCCCCACGTGTCTATAGCCCTGAAGAACCCCCCACCTGTCTACAGCCCTGAGGGACCCCACCCCATCTACATTCCTGGGGACCCACCTACCTGTCTACAGCTCAGAGGGCCCCCACCCCACCTGTCTACAGCCCTGAGGGACCCCCACCACCTGTCTCTACAGCCCTGAGGGACCCCCACCACCTGTACAGCCTGAGGGACCCCCACCACGTGTCTACAGCCCTGAGGGACCCCCCACCACCTGTCTACAGACCCAGAGGATCCCCCACCACCTGTCTACAGCCTGAGGATCCCCCACCACCTGTCTACAGCCCTGAGGGACCCCCCACCACCTGTCTTCAGCCCTGGGACCCCCCCACCTGTCTTCAGCCCTGAGGGACCCCCACCACCTGTCTTCAGCCCTGAGGGACCCCCCCACCTGTCTACAGCCCTGAGGGACCCCCACCTGTCTTTAGCCCTGAGCCCCCCACCTGTCTATAGGCCTGAGGGACACCTGTCTACAGCCCTGAGGAACCCCCCACCTGTCTATAGGCCTGGGGAACCCCCCCACCTGTCTATAGCCCCCCCCACCTGTCTACAGTTCTGAGGGACCCCCCCCACCTGTCTACAGCCCAGAGAGAACACCAGTTCCACCTGTCTACAGCTAAGGGGGCGCTATGATTCATCACCTACAATATCAAGGTAAACATAGTCATAATAACCATATGTTATGCTCTTATACAATAATGTTCTTGTTTTAATCGAGACTTGACATTATACCATTGTTATTTAAATACACAGACGAGCCTTAATAATTTACAAATAAAGTTTAAATAAAATGTTGACACCACCTTGAATCGACAACTATTATTATAGAACCACAGGACAATATCTTCACGATCAACAACAATACTTAGATGCAATGTATTGTACTCCTTGGTAAATAACCTGGCACTTGTCACATTGGAACTGCAGTAGTTCCAATTTCTACAGATATATTATCAAACACGTTAAAGATATATCCAGGTTTACCTTGACTGGGAAATGATCTTCAGAGAATGGTTTTGAGCTGTCAGGTGATGTAAGGTTGCACGTTGGACAGCTACTGATGCCTCTTCACACACCCGTGGTCAACAACTGACTGGTTTGTGGTGTTGTAGTCAACTGGTTATTTGGCTAGACTGAGCCGGTCGCTCAACAGTTTATATAAATGCCAATTACTCTAACTGGAGTACATTTATATACAATGTAGAACCTAAGATATCCTAACATAAAATAGACTTTATGCTAGAGTCTATATATACATATTAATTATCTCGTTTGGGAACTTGTCTTTCAGTTACAATCGGTAAAATATTTAGTAGAATTATACAGGAACTGGCATTAGTGGGTATGTGTGCATCACGTGGTCGGGCAGGAAATTTTTTCCCAGGAAACAATGATACACATAATCTTACAGTTACCAAGGGGAATATAACAGCAGTGAGTAATTGTTTCCTAAGTTTTATTTTAACTTTATTTATTTTCATAGAGTAATGAATTTCCATAAAATTCTGAATAATAAACAAAGAAAAAGTTACACAGAGAGGTACAGTATTAAATTAAATAGCGGTTATTTTGTACTTATTTTCCGTTTCCTTTTTATGTATTGTTTGGTTAGGATTTTTTTATAGTATCAGAAAATACAAATCTTTATTGTTCTTGTGATTAATCGCTTTTCCTTGTTCCTCCTGTGAAAGAAATGTGTGGCTGGGCGGTGCATGCGTGCGAGGTGGGGGGATAACTTGTCCTTGTACAGTACTCATATTCTCAAATCCCCGTACGTTAAATTTCTCCCTTGGTGGCTGGATATCCGAGGAGGAAGGAGCCTAACTAGCTTACATAGCCTGCGACACAAATATGGTAACTAGTGTGGCGTCGAAATAGCGCCGAGACAATCATTTGAACAAAAAACGTTCAGTTATTAGTCACTTTCCCTTAAACGGAGTAAGATACGGACCCTGGGGCCTGGGCGACCTTCAGCCCTCCTGCCCAAACCCACCTCCCTCAGCCCTGCACGGTTGGTAGGCAATTTCTGCTTTTACATTATTTGTATCTCCATGGTCTATTTGTCTGTTAGTTTACTTCTCTCTGATTCTGGATTATTTTCTTTATTACTGCTGTATCTGTATTTCTATATATAAAATGCCACCTTTCTCTATCTCTCATGAAAACGTACTTAAGTTAGGGAAAATCTGCTGGTGAGTATGTATCACTCTTGAAGGAAGGTATTTGACAACTAGTATCATGAGTCAGATGAGTGGACATTTTCAGCAGACACCAGAAAGAGGTTGGAGGCCTTTGAAATGTGGTGTTATAGGCGAATGCTTAGAATAAGCTACACTGACAAGTAAACAAATGATGAAGTACTGAGATTAGCGAAGACTTCAAGGGAAATACTTGAACTGCACAGAAAAGGAAAATAAGATACTTTGGTTATATAATTAGGGATGGTGGGATAATAGCAGAAATATTAATGGGCAAAGGTGAGAGCAGGAGGGCCAGGGGAAGGCAGAGACAGATGGATGAAGGAATTAAAAAATGGCTCCCCAGAGATACAAAACCTCAGAGGATTGGTGAAAACAGCCCGAGAACGTTTAGAGTGGAGGACTGTGGTCGCCAACCCTCAGATATGAGGGCGGTACTCTGATGGATATTAATGATATGCAGGTGGGGGGGTCCGGACCCCGCCTTTTCATCAGAAAATTGCACTACTTTTTATTTAATGCAGTATTGTACTCGGCGTCTTTTGTATAGAAAAAAGTAATTACTATTGACCTCAGAATATCTCCTAATATCAAGTGCACATGGCCTCAAAATGGCCTAAAAAAGCCCATGATATTGGTCATGTGGGCTCCCTGTGCTCGCCATGTTCTCACCCACAACTTCTTGGACCTCTCCCCCTTTTGATATTCCTGGATCCGCCCCTGCATATTATGTTAAGGTTATATTATGTTAGCGTTATATTACTTACAAGGTTAGATTAAGGTTATATTAGGTTAACTTTAAACTCTGTTAATGTTATAGTTGGTTAACTTAAGGATATGTTAAGGCACTATCAGGAAAGGTTAGGTTAAGGTTATGATTGGGTTAGGTTGAGGTAGGTTAATATTAGGTTAAGACCGAGGATAATGTCTTTATTTGCAACATCATTAGTACTTTAAGATAAATGAAGGCTACAACATTCATAGGAGAGAGGCGAGTGTAGAGTTCCATGAGATAGTAAGGTTTACACGAAATATTTATGTCCACTTGTAAACATTCTTTAACTTTTATGATAGACTTGTGACTCCTAATAAACAAATTAACGTAAGTCATACTGAAACAATTCTGTGTCCGTCGTTGAGTTAATATTGTCAATGGCGTATAGATAAACTTTTTGGGACAGTATATTCCTGTTTTTGTAATTCTTTTCATTGAAAAAACCTATAGCCGGCCTTGATGGTCTAAATGCACGGTGAATCAAAGTAAATTTGTAAGACGATTTTACAGAATATCTATCTATCTATCTATCAGTATTCCTGGCTAGAGAGCAAGGAATATTTGGAGAGGAACTATTTATTTTATGGACTCCCAATTGATTCATAGTAAGTAAGCTCCCCTGTAGATGTCTCTTCCGTTAGTGGCGCGTCGTCTGGTTAGTTTCGTTCGTCACGTATAGGATGAGGCCTCGGCGGTGGCACCGTTGCTGACAGTGGCTGCGGCAGACACAATCTTGGCCTCCAAAGAACATGATAATGGGTGTGTGTGTGTTGTGCGGAAAACGTAAGAGGATTAACAGAAACCTGACATTTCATTTCTTCCCTAAATATAGACAAAGGTAAGGCGATGCACGAATGAATGCATGAAAAAAGAGCTCATGTGATCTTGGTGTGTACAACAAAATTTGTTAATGAAAATTTTCGCTAAAAATGCATGTAACAGCGTGGGTCTAAAGTAAAGAATTACCCATATTAGATAGAGACGCAACATGACCTGGGAGATAATTCCATGTTCGTATGCACTGAACACTAAAATATCTACACTCCAATTGTTTTTGTTTTTTTACATGTGTAACCTTAAACTGATGTCCTCCTAGTAGTCGATATTGGAGCACTGATAAACAAATCATTCATAAGAACATAAGAAAATAAGGAGTCTGCAATAGGCCGGTTGGCCTGTGCGTGGCAGCTCCTGTCGAGAGTTACTACCACTCTCTATCATCCATGAATCTATCTAGCCTCCTTTTGAAACTTTCCAGCGTTCAAACACTTACTACAAAGTTGGTAAGCTTGTTCCACTCGTCCACCACCCTATTTGTGCTTGAGGGTACCTGGTGGTGCTTGTTCTTGTACCTGTTGGGGGAATTAAAAGGCTGTTTATGATAAGAATGTCTCCTAAAATGTCCAGTTGGTCATATCCTTCTAGAGACCACTGAACACACGCTGGGTAGATCACTACCACAACACTCGAACTACATCTTCTCTACAACACTAATACTACAGCTTCACTACAACACTAATACTACAGCTTCACTACAACACTAATACACATCTTCACTACAACACTAATACACATCTTCACTACAACACTAATACACATCTTCACTACAACACTAATACACACCTTCACTACAACACTAATACACATCTTCACTACAACACTAATACACATCTTCACTACAACACTAATACACATCTTCACTACAACACTAATACACATCTTCACTACAACACTAATACACATCTTCACTACAACACTAATACACACCTTCACTACAACACTTATACACATCTTCACTACAACACTAATACACATCTTCACTACAACACTAATACACATCTTCACTACAAGACTATACACATCTTCTCTACAACACTAATACACATCTTCACTACAACACTAATACACATCTTCACTACAACACTAATACACATCTTCACTACAACACTAATACACATCTTCACTACAACACTAATACACATCTTCACTACAACACTAATACACATCTTCACTACAACACTAATACACATCTTCACTACAACACTAATACACATCTTCACTACAACACTAATACACATCTTCACTACAACACTAATACACATCTTCACTACAACACTAATACACATCTTCACTACAACACTAATACACATCTTCTCTACAACACTAATACACATCTTCTCTACAACACTAATACACATCTTCACTACAACACTAATACCTCATCTTCACCACACTACCACACCTTGACTATAACACTAATACACATCTTCACCACAGTTCACTATTCCGACAAAAACTTGAAAATATTTACTGAGAGGCCGAATTTTAACTTGACCTCCTCTGTGAGTCACCAAGTATTTTACATCGATTCATTCAGGATGACTCAGTTTGTGTTTTACCTGAACGCGGCTCAGGAGCTGGTGAAGCCAGGAATCAAAAGAAAAGCCACCTCCTCCTTCCTGTCTTCACTTAACCCAAAGCGAATGAAGCTCGAGGAAGACACCAAAAACCTTAAGTCTTCAGTTGTCCCCGTCACCACCACCGTCTCCAGCTCAACTTCTTCCTCTTCCCCTGTCCCCACCACCTCCGATATCCCCAAAATTTCGTGGGATAACCTTCACTACCAGAAGATAAATGGTGGTGGACTGCACGGGACGACAGATCACTACAACTTCACCCGTGACAATGGCGACACAACAGAAGTAATCGTTAAAAAACTCCGCAACGGCAACGCATTACCACATGAAGCCCGTATCTTACACGAGCTGGCAGGGGCAGGGGGAGCTCCACTCTTATTCGGTGTTACAACCGACCCCCATGCCCTGGTGATGGAGTTTTGCCCCGGCATAACTTTTACCGAGGCTTTAAAACAACTCGACAAAAAGACGTGTCAACAAGCCTACTCCTCCATCGTTACAGCTGTTCAAGAATTCCACAAAGCTGGATTTAATCATCTGGACCTCCACGACGACAATGTACTAATCGACACCTCTACAGCTCCCTTCAAATGCCACATAATAGATTTTGGGGAAACACAGAAATTATCCGACGACGACTTTTTCGACCGAATTGCCAGGGAATGTGATCTCTCCTTCCTTCAACGCATCAAAGAAACCATAGAACTAACCTATTGATATGAATTAAACTCTGGAGAAAAAATAAATAAATAAACTGTTCACCTAAACTAAACATTGTCCCCTATCACCAATAACCTAAAACACACACACAGACGCAGACACACACACCCACACACACACACAGATACATCTAACTCCCAAGAATGATCAGTATTAAGGATATTTAACCTGTAAGAATTATCAGAATTAAGGCCATTTAACCTGTAAGAATGATCAGTATTAAGGCGATTTAACCTGAAAGAATGATCAGTATTAAGGCCATTTAACCTGTAAGAATGATCAGCATTAAGGCCATTTAACCTGTAAGAATGATCAGTATTAAAGTAGTACTGATCTGATACAGTATAACAACAACACTAATACTACAGGAGAAGCATCTGACCTCCAGAAACACCAACTGATCGCCTTTAAAGAGAATCTCATCCCACAAAACCCCATCAAGTCGCTTATAGATTACGACCACATTAGACCACTCGAGTCACAAAGTTGCTCCGAGTCCTATCCTGCTCGGATATTATAAGAACTTTATCTATATCGCCCTTATTGATTCCCTTCACCCACTTAAACACTTCTATCATATCTCCCCGCACTCTTCGTCTTTCTAGGGAATGCAAGTTTAGTTTCTTTAACCTATCATGATATGGAAGGTTTCTAAGTCCCGGAATCATTTTCGTCATTCTTCCGACGCCAGTGAATTGATATCCATTCTATAATAAGGGCATCAGAACTGAACCGCATAATCGAGGTGCGGCCTGACTAGCGCAAGATATAGTTGCAATAAGACCTCTGCACTCCTATTACTTACACTTCTAGATATAAAACCTATAACTCTGTTTGCCTTATTTCGAACATTAACGCACTGTTTTCTAGGCCGTAGGTCCGGGCTTACAAGTACCCCTAGGTCTCTTTCACAAGTCGACCTTTCTAGGTTGATGTTGTTAAGGCTGTATGCATTGACAGTATTTGACCTTCCAATATTAAGTACGCTGCACTTGCTGGTGATGAATTTCATTTGCCATTTTTCTGACCACTCCTGCAGTTTATTTAAATCGTCCTGTAGTGCATTTACATCCTGCTCTGAATTTGCCGCCCTATTTTGGTGTCATCCGCAAACTTGCTTATGTCACTGCTGATCCCAGTATCTAGATCGTTTATGTAGATTATGAATAAGAGTGGGCCCAGTACTGACCCCTGGGGAACACCACTGGTTACACAGCCCCACTCAGATTTAACACCATCTACGCTGACCCTCTGTGTTCTATCGGCGAGGCATGATTTAATCCAATTTAAAACTTTCCCCTTCATTGTGCACTGCTAAAGGTAAATTCAAATTCTAATATACATTATACACATTTTTTCCTGTCGAGAAATGTTCAAGTTATATCACGTACTTGTGAAGACTCTATTTAATGGTTTCCCATTTCCTATACAGCTTCAAGAATGAGAAATGTGTCCCGCGCCACAACCAAGCTGCCCAGGAAACACCGGGCACGGATTTGGAGTTTGCAAAAACAACTCCAGCCTCTGCATGCCTGCTCGCTTTTTAGTGTCTTCTTAACTTATATTTATCTACGACTTAAGTCCCTTATACTTGTATATGTTATTGAATATATACCATGGTTTTGCCGCTTTCTTTTAATTTAAGGAACAATAATTGAATGATGTACTGTACATTCATACATAAATCCCAAGTGACAGGTGAAAAAGGTTCAGTGGAAGGACAACAAATGGCTGGAAGTGAGTAGTAGGAGTAGAAATTGGTGCCGTGGCTTGTCACAGACTAATAGTTCCTCTCTTTATATCTTCCTTGGTAGAGAGTGACAGGGCCCGCCACCTGCCGGCCTCCAAGGTAACCCTCAGTGTACACAACAAAACTTGTCAGTTCCGCTGAGAGGGAGTGTCGCTCCTGCCAGCCACAGAGGTAGAATCTCATACATCCTCTAGTCCTCAAGGTGAGTGATAAACCTCTCTCTAACACTCATGGCAGGTTGAAGGAGTATAACAGTGATGTGAGGAAGATTGTAATATGTAGGAGGTAGGTAATGGTAGTAGAGAGAGTGGAAGTGGGTCATGATCGTGTTGGAAAATGTTAACCAGATGACATCCTGCCAGGGTTTGACATTTCATCTCATTTCTTGTACTGTTTTGGGTTTCTCTTACCTTCGACCTGGTAATTTCTGTTGGGTTTTGCTTAACTTTAGGCTTACAATTTTTCTAATGTTTAACCCCTGATAATTGTTTATATTCCGTGAGTGGACTTGCATTTATTTTAATTTTCTTATATATTTTCTTGTGGAGTAAAAGTTGTATTATCATTGGTATTATTTTAGTTTCGGTCATCTCGGGACTCTTAGGGGGATCTGGGGGGCAAAGTCCCCTGGTTAGGTTAAGTTAGGTTGGTTAGGTTACATTAAGTTAGGTTTGGTTAGGTTAGGTTACTGTTAGATTAGTTTGGATATCTAAATACAGGGATGGGTCAATATTTAGAAAATGACACCAGGCAACTGAATATTGAAAATAGGTTTTTCTAGTGTAAATCATCGTGTTGAATACAAATATAACCTTCATGGCCGTTGGAAATGAGGCACAGTGAGGATATTGGAAACAAAATTGAGGGAAAAAAACCCTAATCTAACCTTACTCCTATTGTCCAAGAAACTTACCTTAAGTGAAAGATACAGGAGGATAAAGTGATGTGACTTGAATGAGGAAGTGGCGTCTTTGTCAGTGTCCGTCTCTTTATCACAGTACTGTACCATTCATAGTGATCTACATGGTGTTGATACTGGCCACTTACAGATGAAACAAAAACACCGTGAGCCCTAAAAATGACAACAGCTGCTGCTTCACTGTTCAAATTTGCCCTCAATAAAATAGCAGCCAGCCAATGTACAGTCAACCAAAGATGCACCGACCCCACTCCTTAATTCAGGTTTTGTTTGAAATAAAGGTAATTTTGGTAATAAACTGTTCATTGTTATTCAAGGTCATGAGAAGTTTCCAAATGTTTGTATATTTGTTTAAATAATAAAGAAAATTATATTAATGAAATGACAACTCAACTACAACCACAGCTGCCACAAGATTCTCACATCAAATTTCTTCATTATTTAAACAAATATACGAACATTTGGAAACTTCTCATGACCTTGAATAACAATGAACAGTTTATTATTCAAAAAATTCTACCTTTGGTTTATCCTGACAGTGATACAGCCAAAAACAGATCCACCAATCACAATCACCTTTACATACAACCTTCCTTAACCAAGTATTGCCAGGCAAAATTGTGGGGTCAGTGCATCTTTGGCTGACTGTACATGTACAGTCATCTCAAACAGAGCCCATCTTCCAATTGGCCGCGAACTCACGCTGATTGGCCAAATATTATACTTTACTTTTTTTTTTTACTTTTACTTGAAAACTATAAATTTCCGACGGAAACTATAGAGTAAATTATTTTTTATTTTATTCTCTATCTCCCCTTATTTGACTCAATATTCAGTTGTCTGGTTTCATTTTCTAAATATTGACCCAGGGATGACCGAAACTATAATTTTACCATATCATCTAGTTATTCGGTTATTATTAACTACATAACCATAATTTGCATTGATCAATCTTTTCTCAATATATTTTCATTGCTGTGTTCGGATATGATATTAAATTTGGGGCAAATGCTTTGTTTGATAGATAATTAGGCCCCAAGGCTCGCACTAGCGGCGCTACTTCATCTTTTACCGCGACAAAACGGTAATGCGGCCCGATCCAACTCTATTTTGTCCTCCGCTCAATTTATGTTACTATTCGCTCGCTCGGTCAGAGCAGCTTCTCTCATGTCCACAAAAAACCTGAAATTACACCACTGTATATCAAAGTAAGATTTTTTCTGTTTAATATGTCAGGGGGCTGAGCCCCCCATCTACGAAGTTAGGTAAGGTTAAGTTGGTTTCTTTGGTGCGATCTTATAACAACGCTTTGGCCGCTTGTGTTTCTTATCAATTAAGGTTAGGTTTAATTTAGAAATAAACCCATTTTAACGCATTTTCAGGTATTGTTGCATTTTCAACCAATATGCAGCCAAAGGTTTTCGATTTAAAAAATGAATAGATCTCGTTGAGAGCTGTCTTCTGAACCCTACTTTTACCTGTCACAATCATTGCTGGAAATAATTTTTTTGTTAGTGGGAGGGTTATCTCCAAAACGAGTATTTTCCGACAAGAATCAATAATTTTTTTAAATAAAACACAAAAAACACTGGAAAAACGCATTGCTCAACTCGAAAGCCATATTGGTTGAAAATGCAAATTTACTCATTTGTACAAACCACAACAATGTCCACTGCAAAACAGTGAAGTTGCAGTACGTATTTTAAAATTAATTTTCTTTGAAAAATCGGTGTTGGGTATGTCATCAATAATTATCATTTATTTTACATATATACACCTCCCTGTACAGCTTTGGTAAAACTCCAGAAGAGCTTTGTCAGCTTAGTAGTGAACGCAAGAAACTTATGCTGGTACTCTTAAAAAAACTGGTGAAGGTGGAGACAGCACCAGAAATAACTTTTGGAATTTGATAGTCATACCAAAGCACAAAGTTCTTGGATAAGCTTTATCAAGTTCTGTTGTAGGATTTGTGTGACTGGAAGAAATCGTAATATGTTTTTGTGAGGAAAACTGTCAGCCTGTGTGAAAAAGGGACAGACTGCAGATGTTTATTACCCTGTACTGTACTGTGTATTTTTATACATATTATCATTATGTTTATTTTTTATATAATTATTGTTCTTTTTCAGGCATCTATTTTTGGTAATACCTGTACAGTATATGTAATGATGAATTACTGTAGAATGTTACTGTAATATATAATTTTTTAATAATGAAGAATCCAGAGTGTTTTATAAAGCGATAGAAAACTCTTGGAGATGATTGACTACTGTATACACACGCTACAGTACGTAACCTAACCTAACCTAATGTGGTGGATAGGTGAGAAAGGTGAATAGTTACATCTAGAACAAAGTACAGTAGCCTCTGTACAAGACTGGCGAGTCTTATCTCTCATGTTTCCTGTTGTGGAGTGGGGTAGATAAAAAAAAAATCTACTTGCATTACAAAAAATCATATATGTTGTATTTCAAGTGAATTGTATACTGTATGAGCTGCATCACTGGTTGTTGTTGATATAATGTTATTACTGAGCTTCAACAACTAAGGTCTTTAAGTGCATAACAAGGTTAGTAATTAGACTATTCCATCAGTAATTAAGAATAATGAGATATGAAACTCAGGTGTAGGGAAGGAGATGTAAAAGTGATGTAATTTTCGTCTTTACATGAAGTTTTGTGTTACGTATTTTACATTCCTAGCATGCAATATTTATTACTGATTTTTATTTTATTTTTTTATTCTTTTTCCCTCTTATAGTTTTAGGGTCTAGTAATGTATAATGGTTCAGAGCTTATCTGTAGTAGCTGTGGTAAATGTTGTACGGAATATGTCTGAGATATTTCCTTATTATTGTTTCTTCACAGGGGTTCTGTGGGGAGGATAAACGGAAGTCTGTGTAGAATTATCAAGAAAGGAAACGGATGATAGGGAAAGTGATTTCAGGATAGGACAGAAACATCACATGATCTTTTTTGTATCCTCACATCAACAGCTTACAAGTTCTCAATCTCTATATCCTTTCCAACTTTAATTGAAAGCTCTAGTGTATGTTTATGGTACATCAGTAATCATGTGTGTCTCACCTTTGTGTCCTGGATATAGTAATCTCTGGCTTGGGACAGATGTGAGAAGGGTGTTATCCTGTGTGACCCTACCAAATATGGCTTGTAAGCTGATAAGTGGTGAAATGATTAAAAGAACAAGTAAATAAATATGAGATGCATTACACTATAGAGGGTGAGGTTAGTTTAGGTAAAATAAGATAAGAATACAGTATCTAAGATGAAGAGGCAGGCAATGCTTTTCCTGCTGGTGGAGATAAGGTTGTACTGTACTGTACCACATTATATAGAAGATTATTTATCAGAGGTAGAGGACTATTGATGAAAAGTTAAATTTTTATATACTGTATAGAAGCTGAATCATCATTGATAGTGGAGGTAATAATAATACTGTAATGGTAATATTTATTCACTAAAATTGTCATACAGTTTTACAAGTGTAGAGGCTGTATATAAACTATGCATATTTACAGCTTAGCATGAATGTAAACAATGTAGGTGTACGTATATAGGCCATAGGAGTACAGTACAAGTACTATACAGTTTCTTATGTACCCAGACAGTACAGGTATGCTGTACAACATTGGTAAACGGGAGGGCAATTTGTCCAAGGATAGCCGACAAAGCTGTCAGGTGCTCCTTTCATGATGTTGAATTACCCAGTGACTTAATATAAAAAAATATATATTATACATTGATTATATAGAATGTAGTATTGTATTGTGATTACAGTAACTGTGGTACAGTGCTGTGTCTGGTATTGACATAAACTAGTGAAGTACATCTGGGAGTTAAATGCCATAGGAAATATAAACTTTAATCAGAAGCCCACAGAGCTGAGAACACAGAAAAGGCATCAAGTGTTGACATAATCACAACGCAAGTGAACAGTTGGTTCATAGGAATACTTCACAGTTATCATGTGCCCTTGTCATTTACTGTGCTGTTTGAAGTGCTTCCCTTCAGTTGTTATACACATAACGGAGTAGTAAGTTTAGTGGCCATTTGAAGATGTTATTACATTATCTTGTGCTTATAATTGTGTTTAAAATTATTGAGTTTTTGTTTGTCATGTTGTTCATGTATTAAGTCACAAGATAATCATTCCCTGCAGAGAGAATTTGTAGATACTTGAGGGTTATAGCTACCTTGTTGGCTCACTGGCCTTGTTGGCTGGAGCAAGACTACAATTGGTGATGTATTCCCCATTTTTATTATGCTTTTGTCTCCGATTAATTTAATGATATTTTCTTGTTTTCACTGCTTCTTTTATTGTTAAATCATATTCAGAAATCATTCTTCGTGTTCCATCCAACTTGAAATCAGTTGAAACGCGTAATTGGGTTGAGAGATACAGTTACTGGTATACTGTATATGGTTCTGATCCGATGATTTTTGGCAGAGATATTGAATTGATATGGCTTGCTGTATTATCTGTCTGTTATGTGTCTGTAATCCTTGTAATGTACAGTCACTCACAAAAGTCCTGTTGCCACTCCGAGATTCAGGCTCATGAACCCGAAGCAGTAGACACCTGCATTATTCTGTACTGTACATAAAAGCTTTGGATTCACGGGTCTGAGTCTCGGTAACAGGACTTTTGTGAGTGACTGTACATTTATAATAACTTTTTAGCTGTCACAGATAATGTACAGTAGTCAACTTCATAATTACTGTACAATGATCATCAGTAAGTTGTTTAACATACTGTATATGTATTCCTTGTCCTATCATTATTTTTCTCATTTGTTGCATAACTTTTGCAGAGAATATCTTGTGCCACAAAGATGAACTCAACACAACGCAAACCTCCGCCCCCAACAAACCCTCGACACAGCTCAACCGAGATGAAAACGAGAAAATTTTCCGGGTGCTCGGTCTAAAGTGCCAGGTAATGTATTCAGTGTTGTTTCACGAGATTATTTTACGAGGCTGTCATGTAGCAGATCAATTGCCAGATGAGGTTGGTTTATTTTTACTGTAGCTAGTTAAATTTTGATATACTGTATCTTGCCAATCTTTCTCAGCACTTCTTCTTCAGTCATAGATAAGATAGGTTTCTTTTTTTGTGATTTTTTTTATTCCAACTGTAAAGAGGGAATTAGCAGTCATACTTTGTTTTTTGTATCTGTGGACGTATTTGGCATCAGTCAGTCTTGTGTATGAGTTGATAGTAGTGGATTTTTTTTCTCTGTTCATCAGGGGGTTAGATTATTAACTCTTCAGATTTTGTGCTGACTGTGTATAGCTACTGTACCTGTCAGGAAGTATTTTCAGAGAGGCTTGAAAATGTTGGTGTTCTACTTAACATGAAGGATTTGCTGTCATTCCAAATACATGTTCTTTTTTTCTTCTCATAATTAATTTTCTTTGACTTACTTACAGACTTTGAGTACAAGAGTAGTTCAGGTGTTTGGTACTGACGGCCCTCACCATAACTCTTGGCGTAAGCATGGTGTTGCTACCTTCACTAAGGACAATGTACGGAAGTCCTATTATATTCAGGTCAGTCTGTGCTTCCTGAGTTACTGTACACTGTAATGTGGAACCTGTAGATTTATTATTATGGTATATTTATTGTTTTACTTGATACAGTACCTCTTGTTCTTGGTCTACTTGTAGTGACCAGACATCTTTCAGTAGTATTTAATACCTTGGTAAATGCTCCTTTATCTCTTGACATCACACACACAGAATAATTTTAAATTTACAGACAAAATTTATGATACCAGGTATTTATTGTGAACACAGTAAATTAAAGTACAGTACAGTACATAAAATAACATCCATGCTGATATCTTACTCATGGTGTTTATTACAGGTGTATGATATTGTGTCTGGAAAGATATTATTCGAGCAGGAGCTGTACAATCAGTTCAGTTACACAGTCTCGATGCCCTTCTTTCATCAGTTTGAAGCCGAGGTAACAAGTTTTTGTTGTTTTTCATCGGGTGCTCCTCTACTTACGAACGAATTATGTTCCTGGGGCTTGTTTGTAAGTCCAATTGTTTGTAAGTCCAACTTTACTCCTGTAGATACCAAACATATTGTAAAAATTAAAAGATTATGTATATTTAGTACAGCTACACCCTTTAATACAGCCTTAAAACCTGGCTCACTCTTCTCCTCTTAGGTAATGTTTGTTCTATCTGGAATTTTCTTCAAAATAATCCAGTCTCTTCCACAATAAACACCTGTTCTGGCAGGTAACCCCCCTCAGTGATGATGTTTGTATCTCTGAAAGTTTGTAAGTTGAACGTTCTTAAGTAGAGGAGCACCTGTATTTAGCTTGTTGTGGTAGTTAGACAAACTAAACTAAATGAAGGCTTTGCATGAAATTGCATGATAATAATATCAGCGAGTTTCAATAGAGGTGTTGGGAAAGGAGCAGCCCATTAGATGTATAATATACTGTAAATGTGTATGGTTTTGTTTATAAGCTTTGATACACTTTAGAATATATATATATATATATATATATATATATATATATATATATATATATATATATATATATATATATATATATATATATATATATATATATATATATATATATATATATATATATATATATATATATATATATATATATATATATATATATATTTATATTTATATTTATGTAATGACTACTTAATCTTAACAACAGTGAGGAATTTTTAGAAATATTTCAACATTTATTGTAGGGGTGTAGGGAAATGTAGGATGCCGCCTATAATACATAAAAACAGTAAAGTACTGTAATAGGAAAAAATAAAGTGCAGCACTAAGACTGAGCTTCAGCTCAAAGTTAAGCACTGCAGTAGTTTACATTTCCCGTCAATTCAAGTATGATGAGTTTTGGAAATATCATGAGGAGAAAATTTTTCAGCATATCTAAAATTGTATGACATCCATAATACTGTACAGTATATAAAATAATAATTAGAAACAAACTAAATACTAAAAGCTGAGTGATTTTCATGTAAGAGGATTTAAAGGAACTTCCTTATATTGTACTGTAGTTATATGTTTTAATTTTATTCTGGCTTTTAAACTAAAGTACAAAACAATACTGATACAGCAATATGCCTGTTTCCAAATGTCTAGTTTATCTCTATTGTGTTGTGTAATGTACCCAGTGTTGTAAACTCTTGCCACCATGCCTCTCCTACCCTTACCTGTGCAATGGTAAGCTACTCTGTCATATACCTAGGGATCATAAGCAGCCCTCTCTCTGCATTGATGGTTTGTGGCCTGCTGTCAAAATAAAAACACCGTCTATGAAGTTACTGCATTTACTGTATGGAAGTTGGTGTATAATATCTCCGGTGTGTAATTACTTTATACGTACTGTAGTTTTCATTCAGAAATAGTGTGTGTGGTTCCCTTGACAAGATCCATTATCATGAGAGGACTACACGACATGACCGAGATGATGAATTTGCCTACTTAGTTTTCTGTGTGAAGTTTTCCGAACAAAGGCTCTTTGTCTGTACTGGATATAGTGACTCAACTTTTTGTATGTTTCTGATTCAGTGCCGTGCCAGGGGAGATCTTAGTCTTTACAGTGTACAGCTATTGGAAACTTGACAGTAGTAGTTAATTATGACAACGTGATCTACCTGGAGTTTGACCAGTCATCTCTTGAAGGTCATCATTTTTGGAGACAGCCACCTGGTCTGATATAACTTATTTTCTTATTTATGCTTAGAAACTATTACCTGGGAATTACTGTACTGTACATATAATCTTTCTGATGTACATTCTCTGTATAGTTTTCTGTATACACTAAAGAGTTTTCATTTTGACTTGTTAATAAATGATGTTTATGAACACCTATCAAGCTACTGCACTTTATGGGTGCTGTAATATATTGATAAGTAATGCAACAAGGTTAAAATATTGTAGATAGAGCCTGTAAGTTTTCATAGCAGCTATAAACCCTGACAGTTGCTTTGATTTATGGCAGGAATAATGAAAACATAGTACTGTACAGTAGTAGTACTGTACTAACCATTGTAAGCTAAGATACTAGGTACTGTTCAAAGGGTTTATATAACCCATGAGCACATGAACTGTGGTTTATTGTTATTTGATTGACCCAGAATGATGTTCATATAACGCTTTGAGGTTCTCTAATCACACCTGTACACTAATGCAATATGTACAATACAGGTGTTCATATTTTGCATTTTATTTCAAGAAGAGCAGTAGATGTCATTTGTACTTTACTGTTCTACATCACTCAAAATGTACTGTATACATGTACAGTATTGAATATCTTAAAATTGTAATGTGCTTTATTTTAATAGATTTTTATGAACTTTTAAGAATTACCTGGATAACCTTGTTTAATGTTTGATTGTGTAACAATGTTTCACAATCAAGATCATATACATATGTAATTAATAATATCTTTTGACCGGATAAGGAAACCACTGACAGATACCCTTATCACCCCTCAAACACAGCTTATTCAAAATATTTACCTTATTCCTGGGTGTTACCAGAGACTAACATTAGTGATGTGTTACTGGCACTGTGATGAGTGGAGCTGTTATAAGTTATTTTGAAATTGTTATTATTTCAAGGAAAAATTTTAGTGATAGTGGAATTTATAGCAAGTTTGACCTGCCTGAGATGTGTTACCAGCAGTGTGTTGAGTGAAACTATTATAAATTATAGGCATTCTGGTGTGGTTTGAATGAAAAACTTCTGATGTTAAAAAATTTAGTGCCTGGGCTGCCTCTTGACTTGAATTTGGTATACTGTACGCAACACATCAGGTGAGATGGAGCGTTGTCTCAGTGACAGTCTGCTTCACGCAGGACTGTCATCGGTGAAGGCATTGATGGATGGCTTAAAAATCTCAGTGAACCATAAGACAAGTGATTCACTCTATATGCCAGCAAGAGACATTCAGGTGGATTGGGATGGTGAAGCATCAGATATTCCTGATTTACTGCACATGATGGCACAACATTTGATTAGGTTGTCAAAAACTGGAGCGTCTAGAGTGCGCCAGTCAATGAGAGAAAGACGACTCCCATTCATAGGATTGTCACAACTCCAGATGAATATGCGGCTTGGGTTAATTCAAAAGCATTCTTTATCTCTACCAAACCTACACAGGGTCAGTAGGTCATTTGCTAATCATATGTAATGTTTCTTTTGTACAATTAATGTAAATGACTATCATTGCACTTTCTTCAATGCACTTTCCTTAATACAGTTCTGTACTCAGCTGCTGAAAAAATTAAGTTCTTCCTCTGAAATCCCAAGGGTTCAATATTATTTTCACTTGCCTATTTTTTTTTTTATTACAATTTCTGTTCTGTAAAGAAATGGGTATAAAGTGTAGGTACTCTACTATGGCCCTTGTGTATTTACAGTATCTTTGATGGTACAGTACCTTAATGTAGCTGTGAATGCAATTTCATACAAATAACTCAATGTAGTACTGTACTGTATTACACTGAGATACAGATTGGTGTTCTTCACCTTGAGATGTTCTAAGTGTTTTGTGCTTTAATGTTCAACTGTTTTTGTATAGTAATTTATCTGGCCAGGTTACCAAGGCAGTAGTAAAGTCTTATGCTCAGTGTAAGTCAGGTAAATGTTGGCTGAACCTTCAAAACATGTTTGTACATGAGTCAGGTCTCTACTCTCTTAATGAAGTTCTTTCAGTTTTATTGATTTTCACAGAACAGTACAGTGCAGTATTTCCTGTGGTTCATGGTACAGGAGTTCTTCGATTTTAGAAAGGGATGTGTTCCTGTAAAAACTTTTGCCAAGAAAGCCATTTTTCCCATTGACTACCATTGTATGAAGGGAAATACATTCCTACAAAAAGAAAAAGTCCCCAAACGTAAAATACAGGTTTATTTAATCCATATTAGAATATATACTACTTACGGGAAGCTGTATGTGGTCGGTGCTTAGGGTGATGGTGTGGCAGGATGGTGGTAGATGGTGTTACTGGGAGGATGATGGTGTAGCAGCTGGAACATCTGCCTCACCATCACCACCATCATCATAATCATGCTCAATAGCAGCAGGAGAGTTGGGGCTGTAATCATTGTCTGATACCGGTCTCAGAAGAAGAGATGATAGGTGGGAGGAAATCATCATCATGGGCTTCAGCAGCAGGAGGAGCACTACAATGTTTAGTTAATGTTTGTGAAAAATGACATCAGAGTTATCTGTTTAGTATGCATCTTCTTTTCTCTGTAGAGTTCCTTGTAGGAGGTGAGGAGATTTTCATGCTATCCTTCAAAGTTGTGTTGGGCCTGAGTTGTGGTCACTGCCATGTTCTTATTGGTATGTGTGTGTAACAGAGGCGTAGATCCATCAGTTTCTTCCTCCATATCAACATAATTTGGTGGTCATTTAGCCATTCTTTTAGAATTAGATCAATAGCGATACGGTTTGTACCCTCATATGACATATTTTATGTACAGTACTGTGGGTGGACAAAAGTCCCTTCCCTTAGCCCTCCTCTTCCCTCTGGCCCCCATTCCCCGTCATATGCACTACACAGTGGGCCATCTGTTGGATGATTACAGCACTTCTCTCAGTTGCTTCAGTCACCTTGTGGCTGGCTGACGGAAGGAACTTTTGTCCACTATAGTACAGTACAGTATATGTATATATACAGCATAAGCACAGAAATGATGTCACACACCAGCCTGCATTACAGTACTGTATGTACACTGCTTACTGTCTCTGTTCAACACGGGTTATTCTTAGATATCTGTGTCAGCATCTCACTATTTCCAATGCTAACAAAAAATACCTAATTTTTTTGTAAAAGCAAGATTTTTGTTTGTATACCTAACTGTAATTTCTCAATTCTATCATTCCTACCTCTAGCCTTTTACCTCATTGTATAGGGTTACAGTGTGGTAATGGAACCTTTCCTCCAGCATTAACAAAACCTGTATCCAACAATGA